CGAAAATTTGAATCATTACCAATTTGAATACTTGAATACTTTATTGCTGTGTAGTATGTTTATAGGGAAATGGCGCGGGTGGTGCAAGTGCCGTAGAGCCTTCTCGGCTAAACCTCTTATTTCTAAACCGGCAGTCAGGTCGTTGGAGATCTCGATGAGTTGGAGCTTTCGATAGAACACTGGAATTCTGGACCGCTCCTTGAACTTTCCACAGACTGCAACATTGTAACAAGTCACAAGGTGAGAGGTCCACTTTACATGATTAGGATTCTTTTTTGTTTGCATTAGTTTTTTTTTTATTGTGTATCATTTTATACACATTGTTAATAAACAGACAACCACATGCAGTAAATAAACTTTATTTGCTCTGTATAGGCAATAAAAAAAAGAAGTGCATATATAACATTACTTTAACATTTGTGTTGTAGATCTTCCTCTTTTCACGCCATGAAAGGAAGATATTAATACAAAGAATTCCTTTCTTACTTCCTGTGTGTTTGATCAAGTTCGGAAAATGTAAAATCCACGATAATGAAACTTTAAAGCGAGCGTCCAGCAAAAACCTTTTTTCTTGGATTGAGCTGGGGAAGGTTAGAACTCCTGTTTGGTTTTTACTGCTATCAGGGGCTTTTTATTATCAGCAACAGAAATAAAAATGCTTTTCTTGTAGTGTAGGGGAAGGTTACGACCCCCCCGTCAGATCTTTATTTCTAACTAAACTCCATCAGATTTTCCCTCACTTCCTGTCTGGTGAAACTGTCGTCAGCTGGGCAGGAAGTGAAAGGAAATCTCTATAAAAAAGGTGGCCATACACCTTACGATTATCGGACTTCACTTTTCGTCCGATGATCGAACCGTCGTACGGTGGCCTCATTATTTCAAGGCTCAATTAGCCGTAATTAAAGAAAAGCACCTGGACAAAATGCGTTAATGGACTGCACGTATTTTCGTTTGCGCATGAGCAGTGTAGATCGTACGATTTTTGACGTACGGAAACGCCACTAACCTTGCAATAATCATACCATCATCCAAAGTTTTCAAACATGCTTGAAAGACAAAAAGTCGTACGATTGTACAGTGTTTGCGGTTGTACACTGCCCACACACCTTGCGATTATCGGACGAAAACCCGATCGCATACGATTATCTTAAGGTGTATGGGCACCTTAATGGAGCCCTGGAGGGCAGTAAAAAAAACCTTCTCCAATATATCTTGGGTATCCTTACCCAATATATACGTTTTTGTTTGACATCCACTTTTACTCGCACGGCTATATAAAAACACACAATTCCTGTTAACGGCTGATTAGTCGGGGGTCACCGCATTTGGCAGATCACCTTTTCCCTATTGGATAAGCCAAGTACAATATGTCCGACACAGCAACCAACACACAGGAAGCCACAAATAAATACAAATTCGCGGGGCGCCCCTCGATGTAGAGGTCAACCCCTTCGATCGCCTAAGGGGCGGCCCTTGGCTATGTAACATTACATACATCTCAGCACAGACTGTTTCTATTTACAATGGGTACAAAGATGGATAGGATACAAGTCTAAAGGATAAATGGCACTTAAAAGGAAATCTCCAATTTTTTTAACCAAAAATAAATAAATAAATTGATGTATATAAAAGGACTGTAAAACCATTTTCTAATTGTATCCCGCGGCCGACAATCTGTCCTGCAACTATGGCAACAGTAGTCGTACAGGAAGCCATAAAGCCGTACGTCTCCTTTTCTGGTAATTGGCTCACCTTCTCTCCCAGAATTCTGCACGGACCCCCAACGTCACATTGCAGGCATCCCCAGCAACATACGTGATTCAGCGCACTGGGAGATTCCCCTTTGAGGAGTTAGCTGCAGAGTGCTGCATGTCTTAGGCGGATGTTAGGGGTGCAGCTTTACTTTTTACATCGCTGGGATCAATAATGTGATTAATAAAAAGGCAGACCCCCCCTCCTTCTCCTCGCCTGACGTTCATAGGATTTCAGCACGGCCTCTGGATTGGCCTAGCCCAGTATCTACAGATAAGAAGCCTGTGAGAGTCTGAATTGGTGTTTGCTAAATTCTATACAGTACATACAGCTGACACCCTGGGATTTCAACAAAATTGGAGTTTCCCTTTTAAAATAAAAACAACATCTATGTACAATACAAGGAAGAATGAACCTATAGGTCGTTTTCATAGATTAAAAAAAGTGGGCCCCCCCAACAAGAAGCAGTAAAGCCATTTTGTGGACTGAACAAAACTTCATGATTCAGGCTAAAGCTGACTACACAAAGACACACTTATGTAACATACATGACCAGCTTCAGGGCGTTGTTTTCCAACATTCAAAATGCACATCAAACGCAGGTCTACAGATTCCCATTTGTTGTGTGGAGGACAACTCTGAGGCTGCAGTTGACCCGAGATGAAAACCGCAGGCCCCATTTAGATGCGTTTGCATTGCAGGCCAAGGAGGGCAGACAACCTTTTGCTGAGTTTTGCGTTTGAATGTTAACTAGCGTGAGTAAACAATGCCCTAGCCTCTGTAATCAGTAGGGGGAGAAATAATGCCCCATTGTTGGTGTCAGTGGAAGGAATAGTGTCCCATCACTGGTGTCAGAAGAAGGAGCATGCCATCAATGATGTTGAGTGGGAAAAATGATGCCCCATCAATGGCGTCCATGAGAGAATTGTGCCACGTTGCTGGTGTTAGTGGAAGGAATTGTGTCCTTTTACTGGTGTCAGAAGAAGGAGCATGCCATCAATGGTACCAAGTGGGAAATATCATGCCCCATCAATGGCGTCCATGAGAGAATTGTGCCACATCGCTGGTGTTAGCCGAAGGAAATGTGCACAAAGGGCGAGTTAAAGGCAAACAAAGCGCAGCACCCTGCCTGTGGGCCACAGATTGGGAACCACTGATCTAGAGTCTGACCTAACAAAGACTGCACAGCGTGGGGGGTTTTCTATGAGCCAAATACAAAGTCCCCATATGCCTGAGAACATCCACAACTCTCCACCATGGCAGTATGAAGACTAGTGGATGACATGAGGAGGACTTCCAACACTATGTAGATTGGACAACCAGATCAGATCTGCAGCTTAAGTAGCAGAGTGCGTGGTCATGATTCCCTACCTCCGAAAGGCTCAGTATCATCACCATTGTCTAGTGAACCCAACAGTCTAAACTTTGGTCAACCTACAAAATGGCGGCTTGCTGTGCGTGTGGTAGCGGGCTCCCCAAAATCTGTACAAAAGCAGATTATAATATAATATAAGGCACATTCATTGTGCTATGGTTTCCACAGACAAGAAATATCCTTTTCAAATGGTTTGATCAGTGGCATCTCCAATACAAGAAGGATTACAACATCTACCAACTTAGGTCTGCTGAGCACCACTGGCCAATACACAAGAAGATTATTTACAAAAGTTCAGTTTTATAATAGGAAACATTTTACTACAAAAAATAGGAAAAAAACAGTAAACTCAATTTCTCTGTATGTAAAACGGGCAACTGAATTCACCCCATTATTAAAACAAATGTCAATGTTATACGATACCTGAAATACTAAGTGCAGCGTAGATGTAAACAAATCTGCATTTTTGTTCCTGTGTGCGGCCACATATCCACAAACCAGAGTTCTGCTCAGCTAGGGAAAGTAAATATATCTGCTACTTCAATGCAATGGGAACTTTCCCTAATCTGTTCCTGCTGCACAAGCTTTAATGGAATTCAGCAGGATGCAGTGAAAGGATGGGCAAAGGCACACAGTTTGTGAAGGGGGCAATGGGCAGATTAGCTCTCCTGCCACAGCAAGTGTAGGAGGAGGGGGTCATCATGCTAATGGGTGATCATGATTTCAATAGCTCCGTCATTAAGATTCTGCCCATTAAAGTTGATCCAGCTTTAACACATTACACGCCGTCCAGGTTCCAGATTGGCAAGGAAGCCGGCTCCATGCTCCCTCATCACTTGATGACGAGGGAGCTTGGATCCGGCATCCCGGCCAATCAGGAAGCTGAACAGCATGTAATGACACGCCGCCCGGCTTCCTGAGCGGTTAGGAAGTCAGGCTGCTTAGGTCCAGGTCACCTGGTGACGAGGGAACGTGGAGCTGGCTTCCCGGCTAATCAGGAAGCAGGGCGGCGACTCATTACACGCCGCCCAGGTTCCTTGATGGGACTTTGGGTATTGGTATGCGGTATTGGCGAGTACCAGAAAAAACCCCCAACAATACTCATACTTGATACCGAAAAAACGGTATTGGTGCATCCCTTATTAAAATAGTCCCTGGTGATACTGCCATGTAGGTCATTGTTCAGGCACTTCCTGTTATAGGGCGACAACTGAATCGCAGTTTAACTCCTATGTTGTCACCCTTTCACATACACTCCAGATGGAGACTACAAGCAGCCGCACCGTCACATTGCACAGGTACGGTTCACCGCTGTCACTATCAGGAAGCCGGTCTATAGTAATGATGTGCAGCTGACCCTAGAGCAAGTGCATGTAGACAGGAAGTGGCTGAAAGAGGCCAAAAGGAGGAGGGTTTAGATCAACTTTAACGAACGGGGTGGGATAATGTGCACAGATTAGCGGAACCTGTACAAGATGGCTCAGCCACGTGAATGTCAGGGGGAAGAACGTGTATGTCAGCTATAAAAGAATCGCTTGGGTAATAAAATTGCGTCAGCAAATCAACGGATGCTCAATGGGCCACCGCCGATGCATGTGAAGTACAAAGGATTTCTTTGTAACAGTACTTGGTAGCGCAACAGTGCAAAGCTGCTACCAGACCTCATTGGGGCGGTTCGATACATTAACTTTGAAGGGTAACACTTACATCCTAAATGAATATAATGGCGATTCAAAAAGGAGATAAGAATCTGAATGCAACATTCAATGTAACATTTGCTCCACATAAGCGCAGTCCTCCGATTTGCGGCGTGCATTGTTTATGGGCTCATCAAAAGACGGGGAAACCTGAAGTCACTTGGCAAAAAAAAAGGAAGAGCGTTCGACTTCTTGTCAGGAACAAAATGGCCGCACTCTCGCTCAGATGCTCGGGAATTGAGCTCGTCCTAGGACCGACTGCCGACGAGCTGCAGCAGATTGATGAAAATGTAAATTATGTCAGTGTAGATCTTCATGGCGCCGTAGACGTATTCCTCGGGGCTGATGGTGTGTTTGCGGTTTCCGATCACCAGCTGCGTGTCGAATGCGAGGAACTGGTATGGAAATAAAGAGATATGTTACTAACAGAAAATGGACTTTATTCAGTGGTAAGATCACACCGGGGATCATGCATATGGCTCTGGAGCTCTATATTGTTTACGGGCTCATTAACGTACGCGTGCACATCCATACAGCATGCACGCCTGTGCAGAGACCTGCTCCCGGGAGGGACAGGTGCTGCGTATGGTTGCAGGCAGCCGTCTGTACCCGTCTACACGCTCAGCCGAACCTGAACATCTGTGCAGCTCCGGATGCCCACACATAGATGGGCACTCTCTGCGCAGGTTCAAGATGGCGTGTAACCTTAGGGATGTACAGGAGGCTGCACGCAATTACACGCAGCGCCTGTCCCTCCCGGGAGTAGGTTTCTGCATGGGCGTGCACACCGTACCATGCAGATGTGCATGCTGTGTGAATGAGCAGTATTACTACAAGTATCTGTCTGTAAAGAGTACCTGTCTGTGCACAAGAATGCCGACATCTGGCCTGGTTGCCAACATGTAATTTCCAGGCATACCTCATTACTGAGTCATATAGGACAAGCAAAGGCGCGCCAAAACGCATAATAAGAACAACATACACCCAGCTTGGGCAGATCTATACAAAGGTGAATTCCAGGCAGGTAGAACAATACCAATCAATGCAGCTCATTAAAATCATTAATTGCAGAGTTCAATATAACTATGTTAATTATTTCAGCTTGCCCTAATATCAGCTTCTTATAATTCCCCACACAGCAGCGCAGCAACTTTAGTTTATGTACAGAAAAATATATTTCATGTCTTCGGAATGAGGGTAAGGATCTATTTCAGCAAACCCTAATCATTTCCAGAGTAGATGGAAGAACGGTCTGACCACAGAATATATAACTATGGAGGTATTGCTGGTGTACTGGTCATAGACTGCTGATCTCATGAGATCTGCATAAGGGGGTCATATAATAAAGAGGCCAAGGAGTGCATATCCCCCTTTAAAGCTGAACTCCGGGATCACATATAATGTCTAAATCCAAGAGTCATGTGTATTCTTCTGGAATCTCGGTGAGCTTTGTATGTTTCTTCCAGATCTGTGCAGTAACCCAATGTGAGATTTGGAGCTTCCTGTAATAAAGACCGGTCACTGCTGCCCTCTCTCCTTGTACAGGGTGACTGGTCTCCGCCCCTCCTGTAATAAAGACCGGCCACTGCTTCTCTCTATCCTTGTGCTGGGTGACTGGTCTGGTCTCCGCCCCCTACTGTAATACAGACCGGTCACTGCTGCCCTCTCTCCTTGTGCAGGGTGACTGGTCTTGCCTCCGCCCCTCCTATAATAAATACCGGCCACTGCTGCTCTCTCTCCTTGTGCAGGGTGACTGGTCTGGTCTATGCCCCCTCCTGTAATAAAGACCGGTCACTGCTGCTCTCTCTCCTTGTGCAGGTTGACTGGTCTCATCTCCGCCCCTTCTGTAATAAATACCGGCCACTGCTGCTCTCTCTCTCCTTGTGCAGGGTGACTGGTCTGGTCTACGCCCCCTCCTGTAATAAAGACCGGTCACTGCTGCTCTCTCTCCTTGAGCAGGGTGATTTGTCTTGTCTCCGCCCCGGTTCTTTTCTGTAGTGGGCGGGGCATGCTAGGTCCCACAGCTCTGCTCCCTGCACAGGCTATGTACAGCATGGTGATGATGTCACAGCTACTTTATTATTGTAATATCTGCATTTACATTTGTGCACACAGTTTGCGTTTTAAATCTTTTGTGGCTATCGTGGAATATATTTAAATAAAAATCTTTGTGTCACGTGTTCAACTTAAATTCTTTGATCATCTTGTTTGTGTAATCTGATGGTATTCATGAAATAGAGTTCAAAATAATGTATTTTATACATGTGAACTCAGGGCCACCAACTACATAAAGTGTAAGTACATCCTTATCTCTACCCCTATTCCTTATACTGCCAAAAGGCAACGTCATTGCATAGCCGATGTATAGATAGAAAACAAAATACTCACCAGAGTGAAAACGATGGCGGAAATTGCAGCGTACAGCATGTGCAGCCATTTTATCTGGAACGGAATAAAAACATAAGGTTCAATATCTGAAAGCAGATGTAAGAGCCCCCGGCGTATGGGCAGCAAACACGGTTTCTTCCTATTCCATTCTACACTAATCAAAGGTGCGACTTTCTGCAGTTTTCACAACAAATATTGCTGGGTTGGTCTCTGCTTTTAATCTAAATAATAGAAACAATTTAATTGGGGTGTCTAGGTGAAGAAGAGTGAAGAAATGTTTGCCGCTTGCACGCCTATAACAACGGCACACCCTCCAGTAAAGCCGGATGCCAGGCAGGGAATTCGTCCCATACAGCTCGCGGTATACTGAGCCTAGGGTGACGGGAGGACGCTAGTTTGTGTCCTCCCGTTACCCTAAGGAGAACTATGGGGGAAAAGCCCTGACCCCATAGTTCTCCTTTAAGGTTTGAAAATGAAAGGTGGATGCCGATTGGTGCAATGAATTGGTGCGGACACTGTCCTTCCTTCTGGAGGGGGGCTACTTTTGTTCCCCATGGTCCCTGTGTGTGTTGTAAAGTAGTGACCGCTCCAAGCTCACTCCCGGGATGGACTATAACTTCAGTGAAAATTGGTTAACTCAATGTGAGATTGTAGTCCATCCCGGGACCATGGGGAACAGACGTAGTCGCCCTCCAGAAAGAAGGACAGTGTCAGCACTAATTCAGAGATGATTGGAGGATCTACAGCCGAGCATTACACAAATAAGATACATTGTTGTTCATAGTTAAGATACTCAAATGTATTTTTAAGGTTTAAGAGTTTAGTGTCATTTTAAAATGCTTAAAACAGAAAAACTAAATGTATCTTTGTTTTTGCAGTTACAAATGTGGCCACCGAGTGTCACTAGTTTCACGCTTTCCACTTTCAACGTCAACCTTGCATCCTGGCGTGCCTTCCTTGAAACCATTCTTGCCTTATGTAAACCTTTTTGGCTACTCGCACCACACCCTCCTTTCCTGTTTGTTGACATTTTCTGCGATCGCGTACAGTTAACGAGATCGGTGACGTAACCTCGACTGTCCACCGGGAGAGACCAGCTGAGCGACTTCTGTTGGGAACTCCCAGAGCTGCTCATTACTGATAATTAACTGCGGCAGTCCAAGCGGTTTAGGAGCAGCTTGAGAATATCACCTTTCGGTGTCTGAGCAGCAATTATGAGGGAAGGAGAAGACAAGATCATTTTTATTATGTGGTTATAAAGAGGAGAAGACCGGGACTAGAAGGTCATCTCAATCAAAACTAACATTTGGATCTACAATCTGATTGCATAATCTGCTATTTTTAGCTGGACAAAAATGTGGGAGCTTTCATTGGATTGAAAGCGACGCTAAACTCAGGAGTTAAATCTTAAAAATACATTCAAGTATCTTAACTATTAAACAACAATGTATCTTATTTGTGTATCACTCGGCTGTAGATCCTCCAATCATCTCTGAATTGGTGCTGACACTGTCCTTCCTTCTGGAGGGGGGCTACTTTTGTTCCCCATGGTCCCTGTGTGTGTTGTAAAGTAGTCACTGCTCCAAGCTCGCTCCTGGGATGGACTACAATCTCAATACAAACTGCTCAACTAAACCTGAGATTGTAGTCCATCCCGGGAGTGAGCTTGGAGCGGTGACTACTTTACAACACACACAGAGACCATGGGGAACAAAAGTAGCCCCCCTCCAGAAGGAAGGACAGTGTCAGCACCAATTCAGAGATGATTGGAGGATCTACAGCCGAGTGATACACACATAAGATACATTGTTGTTCATAGTTAAGATGCTTGAATTGGTGAGTGGAAATCACTCATCTCATAGTTCTCCTTTAAGGCTCAACTCCTGAGTTTTGTGTCACTTTAAGCAGATTGTAAAGCCAGCAACACACACACTGATAAGATATTGTACAATCAGACTGCAAGGTGTGTGGTCAGCATATCTCAGGGCAAAGATCTCACCAAGAGTGATATCAGAAACGGTCAGGCTTGGGGCAGTGGATAAGAGGAACTGGAACCCTGAAGATTCTTTATGTGTTGACTCTATATTGTTATGTTCATCCTATTTGAAGCTAATCATGTAAAAATATAGAGGATCTAAATATTAGGCACATCATATGGCTTCCACGATCACCTCGGGGATCACCTAGGGATGAGTAATGTAGAATTGAAGCACCACACCATAATAATCAAGCCCAAATACAAGCTTATCTCAATGATGAAATGTTTTCAAAGTCAATGCGTTTTTGGGGGCTGTACCTCCACCCCTTCATCAGGGCTTGGAAAACATTTTTACTTTGTATTTGCACTCGATCTTTAGTTGGATGTTATTGGTCTACGTTTTCACAGCAATCTGTCAGCAGCCGAAACGTCTTTGACTTCGACTTGAATATTATGGTGTGGCGCTTCAATTGCAGACTAACTAAAGGGTCAGTCCACCCCAAATCCCTGAGCTGAGTTCCTAAATCTGCACACCTGCTGAGCCCATTATGAGGCGCTTCAACCATCTCTGTGCTCAGTTTCTGGGTCTGCACGCCTGCTGTGATCATTATTAAGGGTTCCCACCATCTCTGTGCTGAGTTCCTGGGTCTGTACACCTGCTGTGCCCATTATGATTGGTTCTCACCATCCCTGTGCTGATTTCCTGGGTCTGTACATCTGTTGTGCCCATTATGAGGGGTTCCCACCACCCCTGTGCTCAGTTTCTGGGTCAGCACGCCTGCTTTGATCATTATGAAGGGTTTAGGACGAGCTGTGACGGCCGCACGGCGCCCTTGTTGCCATGGCGCCCTGTGTGGCCGCAGGGCTCGCACACCCCTAAGGCCGGCCCTGCCACCATCCCTGAGCTGAGTTCCCGGGTCTGTACACCTGCTGTGGCCTTTATGAGGGCTTCCCACAATCTCTGCACGTAATCCCTGGGTCTACACACCTGCTGTGCCCAGGAATAGTGGTTCATATTATGAAAACAGTAACAGGAGGAGCTGGAACACACAAAAGTGGGCGAGAACACCCAGATGGACAAGAATGGTGAAGTGACCAAAAGCTGATAGCAGAAGAGAATGCAGGCCAGCCAGGCTTACTGGCCCGACCAGCTGGAAGCAGTTTTCTTCCACCATAAGCTTTACATTGGTGGCAGCCAAAGGGTTCATAGGCGCTCCAAAAATTACATTCCTATTACAGAGGAAGCCTATAATTTGACTCATCTTTGATTTCCCCAGAAGTCTGCACTTTCAACCAAATCACACAAGCAGGAAATGACAATCCGGGGGGGGAGGGAATTAAATTTTTTGATTACAGATTGAAATTGAAATAGTATTGTTTAATGGCATTAGAAAATACAAAATGGCATGTGTAGCAATTTTATATATTTTTAACATATAAAAGGAAAGGAAGGAAATGAGAATGAATGGGGTAAATGTACTGGGTTGTCATAACTATAAATAACAGGATCCGGAAGATAAATTACTATAAGCTTTACTTCCTCTCTAAAAGTTCACCTTCAGGGCATTCCCACAAGTGGGTCTTGTGGTGCAGTATAAAAGAACAAATCTACAAAGCATTATCTAAACCAACTACTGTTTTAGTGATGAAACGGAACATATCAGTCGAAACTGCACCTCGAGAGTCATACAGGGAGCCCAGCCTCCATGCTCACAGCCTCAGATTTTCACCTTCACATCTTCTATAATCTGATGATCTGTGAACTCCTTTTGTTCACCATGTAGGCAAGGCCTTTCTAAACACACCCACTGCAGGCTGTTTACTTTCTCTCTTGCCTACTGAAGGTTTCACAACTAGGAAGATGCTCACAGACACCAAATCAGACTCAAACCTGCCTTGGAATCTTGAATCTGATTGGCGATGTATCACCAGGGTGTAGCCTGCATGGTAGAGGTTACAGGAAGCAGACCTAATGATGCCACAGTTGAGGAGCTCCCTGGAATGGAGCTCCAATGGGTAAAGCTGGCCATACACCTTACAACCCTCGCAGGACTTTTGTCTTGCAAGGGTTGTAAAGTAATTAAAAAAACGTATGATCTTCCCATCTTGGACAGGCAGATCGTACTTGCAATCATGGCAAGCCCGCCCCCCTGAGGGGTGGGCTTCCGATGACTGCAATGCTGAACGGGCAGTGTGCGCGTGCACGCACCGGCCCATTCGGCAGTTGTCGAACAAGCACGCCACTAACCCGCCGAGAATCGGACGTTTCTCGGCAGGGTTTTCCAGCCTGCTGGTTCGACAGTAGAAACGGTTGCACGCCTTCCATACACTTTGCGATTATCGTACGATGGGCACCTTTACATAGAACTCAGATTAAAAGGTAAATGTAATAGATTTTTTGTCTTTAGCAAAGCCGCAATGTTTGGCAGATACCATGTAGCCGTTCACCGACCAATTTCACTTCTTCCCTGGAATGCTCTTTCCTCAACAATATTAAAACATTCAGCTTTTTTTTTTTTTTTTATATTTCAGGGCTTGCAAATAGCTTCTTTTAATCCTTAATTGCTTGAACCCCCCCCCTTCCTCAGTTGAATGGAATGGAATACCCACGTCACATATCCCAAGACACAACAGTTTCATTCAGCAATGGGAATCTCATGAGATCTCGCTCCAACACCATAAAAACATAAATGACACGTTCCGGCACCTTATTATTAGGTGGCAGGCTGCAAGAACCAGGTAGGCAGCCATAGATTAGAGGACGATGTGGGATTTGATGGACTTCTATGCATGTTTATTCAGCAATAAACAGCTAAAATGGTAAAAAGGGGAATGGAGAACAATTTTACCCAAGAAGGGAGAAGGTATTTTTTAATCACCTTGGAATGGTGCAAATCGGAATGGAAGGAGATGAAAGGCTCAGGAACGGCTTCATAATTATCAAAGATCTTTTTCATTTTCCCAAGTATACTCCTGTGAAGCCAATTTCACCAGACGAATGTCTCCACATCTACCCTACAAACTCTAGAACTAGCATAGACTGTTCATTTGGAAGCCGTTTAGACTCTTTGAGGTCACAGAATCACCCAAGTAGTCCTAGCTTGGTGGTTGGACCCTCAGATGCTACGTGCCTCAGAACACCTATTCCACCTTAAATCTTTAGAACTATGCCCCAGTATAGCTCCTTGTTGCCAAGATTACACCAATATCTACACTATGTACCCAAAGTGTTTGTGGACACCTGACCATTACACCTACCTATAAGGCCAAACGTATGAGGATATCCTTCCAAATGATTGGTAAAATGGGAATTGAGAACAATTTTACCCATGAAGGGGCAAGGTCCTCTTTATCCTTCTCTAAAGATTGGAATGGAAGGAGATTAAAGTGATATCTGCTCGTCTCCCGGCCGAGAATCGGAACTGCGCATGCGCCCGCCCCAAGATCCTTTGCCGCCGTACGAGCAGTTCCTGATTCTCGGCGCGGGAGCGAGCAGCGATAACGAGTAAGTTTAAAATGATTTTAAGCGGTTTTTCTTTTTTTTTTTACACTTCTTGCCTATATCTACTGCTTGCTAGCAGTAGATATAAGCAAAAAAAACCCAGAGGGTTTAGAACCCCTTTAATGGCCCAGGAACGGCTTCATAATTATTGAAGATCTTTCCCATTTTCCTAAGTATACTCCTGTGAGACTAATTTTACAGGACTAAGCTCTCAACATCCGCCCTACAAACCGTTGAACTAGCATAGACTGTTCATTTGGAAGACTTTTAGAGTCTTTGAGGTCACAGAATCGCCAATGTAGTCCTAGCTTAGAGGTTGGGCCCTCAGAGGTTAAATGCCTGAGAGCACCTACACCGTCTTAAAGCTTTAGAACAATAGAGTCTGCTCTGTGTTCACCAGATTAAACCAATATCTAGAGTATATGGCCAAAGAGTTTGTGGACACCTGACCATCACACCTACCTATAAGGCCAAAGATATGTGGACATCCTTCCAAATGATTGAGTTGAGATGTTTTCAGTAAAGGATATTGCTAATGCTACAGAATACAAAGACATTTTAGACAAATATGGGCCTACAACCTTGTGGAAATAATTTGGTGAAGGTCCTTTTCTATTCCACTATGACTGCACCACAATGTCAGCTTTATAAGGACATAGTTTGATGGGTTTGGTGTGGAGGAACTTGTGCGGTCAGCACAGAGTTCTAACCTCAGCACCTTAGGATGAATTAAACACCAACTGTGAGCCAAGTCTTCTCATCCAACATCAGTGCCTCACCTTATAAATGCTCTTTTGGCTGAATGGGTGCAAATTTCCACCGACGCATGCCACATTTTTGTGGAAAGCCTTCCCAGAAGAGTTGAGGCTGTTATAGGCGAGGGGGGGGGGGGCATCAATGCCATACTGACGCGCATGGTTTTAAATGTAATGTTCTACGAGCTCATATTGGTGTAATGGTGAGGTGTCCACAAACCTTTGGCTGTATAATCAAGGCAGAAAGGACAGTGATAGGTTTTTCTCTGAATACTGGATCCCCCATTTTGCAGCCCCCCCCCAGCAGCAACTACAGCCTCACTCAACTGCTGGACAATCTATTTTACACAAATAGCCGACATCATGGTATGATAAACATGGATTGGACATTCGGTTGCTGTGGTGGACTCCCATTATGTACTCACATATTTAAATGCCAGGACGATGGCTGTCACAATCCCTGTAACAAAGAGGACCATCCCCAGGACGGCGAACAGTCCAGCACAAGAGGTGAAGTCCACCTGTCCAAGAAAGAGAAAAAGTCAGATGTTCAAGATCACATTAAGGAATCAGAATTCCAAAATCAGTGACTAAAATACTTTTAAAAGGGGAATGCCATTTAAACTGCAACCAAAACGTTTATTTTCCAGTCGATTCTTCCTTCATACTTGTGCATCTGCATTTGCATGTGTTTTTAGTGCGTTTGTGTTTGTTTTGCCCAATAAAGGTGAAATAAAATACAGGTTGCTAGGGGTCGCTTGTTAACAATGCATGTTACATGTGTTTTTCGTGCACTCTCATTGAGGTCAATGGAGCTATAAGCGCAAAAGAAGCGCCTGCATCTTTTTCGAAGTCGTACAGCAGCTCAATGAGTTGAACAGGTCCCATAGTAAAGAATGGGATTCCATTGTGTCTACATTGTTGTATGAAGGCTTAAGCGCTTCAAACTGCACAGGTGTGATCGGGGGCTTACAAAATGGGGGTGATCATTGCTTTTGGACAATAAATCTTCTATTTTATTGGTTGGTTTTAGCTGCAGCAATAAATTAGGTTTTGTTTTATCCAAGAATCTAACATATTGAAAGCAATTAGATACAATGAGGGCGGGATTTATCAAAACTGGATCAGACAGAACCTGGAGCAGTTGCCCATGGCAACCAATCAGCATCCACCTTTCATTTTCCAAGCTTAACTGAACAAACAGAAGAGAGAAGCTGATTGGTTGCCATAGGCAACTGCTCCAGATTCTTCTGCTCCAGTTTTGATAAATTCCCCCAAATGTATACCCATCTGGAGGCAGCGAGGGCCCATAGGGTAACATAGGTGAATGTTTGCATCTAGCGGTTACAATTAGCAGCCTGCTGCCGCACTACAGGTGAATGTAATCATCCCCACAGGTCACTCCTCATGTATCACTGGCCCCTCCCTTTTAGATTGTAAGCCCTCAGGGGCAGGGCCCTCCTTACCATCTTGTCTTGAATTGTATTGCGATTGTCATGTCTTCCTTATATTGTAAAGCGCTGCGCAAACTGTTTGCGCTATATAATAATAATAATAATGTAATCCTCCATTCCCCTTCAATTGGTGGAGGCACACGGCTTTTACACAGAGAACATACATGACGTCATCTTTCTCACCTTGGTCTGGAAGCAGAAAACGGTCACGGCGATGGTGACGATGGCGGTGATTGCGAGGGTGATGAGTACAGCTTGTGTGCTATAATAACTGCAACACAGAAAACAGAACACAATGTCAGAAGGCAATGTATTTTTGGGCACATATTTGGAGTTATTGGAGATTACCTTGGGGCTACCCTCCCCCCCTTTAAAGATAACCCCACTAGAGGGTGACATAGTGACTTTACTCCATCTCCTAACTGCTGAGATAAGATATAAGTCACACAGGCAGTGCATTGTTTTCAATGAGTCAACCGACTACATAGGATTTCCCCATCAGAAGATGCAGTGAAGGACAACCATCATGTACACCTCAAAGCAGGGCCTGTAGATGTTAGAAGCAAAGATGGCCGCACACTATGTATAGTTCTACAAGAGAGACGTCTCCTTTCAGACATTCTGCCTCTCAATGAAACATTGGGGAGTCACTGCTCTGACTCATTGACTTGTGTTGACACCAGGACAGGAAGTGAAATCTCTCCCTAGGAGGACACAGCAATATAAATGTGACAACACTAAAAGACATTGAGGGGAATTTATCAAAACTGGAGCAGACGAAATCTGGAGCAGCTGTCCATGGCAACCAATCAGCATCCACCTTTTCATTTACAAAGCTTAACTGAACAGGCTGAAGAGAGAAACCGATTGGTTGCCATAGGCAACTGCTCCAGATTCTTCTGCTCCAGTTTTGATAAATTCCCCCCAGTATGTCTGGAGTTCAGGCGATTGTTAAATTAGCTTGCACAATCTTGTGCACCAACCTAACATTGCAATAATAAATTGTTACATATACAAGTGAATGAAAGCTTGGTTCACAATGCTAAAGTCCATGCAGGTCTGTGAGTTTCTTGACACGTTATGGCGTGTATTTTTTATATGTGTCAGCATGCACTTTTCTACATTTTGCTGCGTGTCCTGCACACTCCTGCCAAAAAAATATAATGATCTGCTGCTCATAAGGTGCACTGCACTAAAACACAGAGCATTCAACTGCCCCACCATTAATTTCCATGAGCCCCCAAAAAAGCGTGTTGACACGATTCACACAGACTGCGTGATGCATTGCAACCCAGAAATGTGAATGTGTCAGACTCACTGATGTAACCATTTTATGTAGGTTTCCTTTTGGTAGTTGGAACATGTATGGCTGAGGTGTTGCGTTTGACTCATCAACAATTTGTGGTTGAGGTCATTCACATTCAGACAAGGGGGCAATGGCTCCGGTGAGACGGCTCTCAGCAGAAACAAGGAACCCCTTAGCTAAGGGACTCGGAATTAGGAATCCAGGTATATAAAGTCTAATGAGAGTGCCAGACTGAGGAACCGAGTCCAACAAGCTCTTCTGCTACATTGTCCCTTTTAAAGTTCACTCTTCAAATAATTATTTATGGTGACTGTGCCATTTTCGAGTCCTCCTAACTTTATACTATATTCAAGTCCTGAAGAAGAGCGAGACCTTTGAGCCCCGAAATGATTTGGCTGTTTTAGGTCTTCATGTATGAATTTACATCGGTATTTACATTGTAAAAAACTCTGACCAGCAGGGCCCTCCTTACCATTTTGTCTTGAATTGCAACAGTAATGTCTTCCTTAAGTCCTGGTTCACACCTAGGCGTATTGCATATGCGCGTCTGTCGCGCGTTTTTTTTACTGCGTTTAGCGGTAAAAAAATCGAGGGACAAACGCGCGTTTCCGAGGGCTACTTGGCTGTATCCCAATGGAAACGCACAACAAAAACGGCCCAAAGTAGTATATGTACCTTTTCAGGCGTGGGCCGTTTTGTAGCGCGTTAGGGACGGGCGGAAATACGCAAAAGGTGTGAACCAGACCCATTGAAAACAATGGGATTTTCACGTTTGAGCGTTTTGTAGAGCGTTCGTCGAGCGTAGAACGCGCTACAAAACGTTCAGGTGTGAACGAGGGCTTACTGTAATGTAACTGTAATGTCTTCCTTATATTGTAAAGTGCTGCAAAAACTATTGGCACCATCAGGGGCGTAACTATAGATCATGGGGCCCCATAGCAAAATTTTGATAGTGCCCTTTGGTGACCTCCCTACTGTCAATGATATTCAAGTCAGGTAACAGGAGAGCTGTTTCCTCCTGTACAACTGATGTCAGCTCTTCTTGATTGGAATTATAACATGTAGTACAGGGGCAGTGAGAACAGCAACTTCAGCAATCCTTAATGGGGCCCCCTTCCATCCCCAGGCCCCATAGCAGCTGCTAAGGCTGTTGTTACGCCACTGGGCACCATATAAATCCTGTATTATAATAATATTTAAACGTTTTGGCCATAAAATTGTAGACTTTTTTTTTTAAATTCAGCCTGTGTATGAATGAGTCTCATGTGCACTATGGTATTGTGACAGGTGGAGGAACCCCTGAATAGTGATTTCAATTTTTTGACAAATTTTATGCAGCGCTTTACATACTGCACAGTCACATCAGTCCCCGCCCTTGAGGAGCTTACAATCTAAGGTCCCTACTTGACATATACACACACACACACACACACACACACACAATACACAGTAAGGCCCGCACCTGGGTGACACCATTGAAGGGGTTGACAGTCATTTTGGTGTCAACCCCTCTAAAAAGTCAGGCACTCGGTCATGGACCGAGAGCACGACAGTGTCAGGAGAGAGGAGGGGACCTGGCGGCAGACCTCATCCCGCTGGGTGAACGTCCCCCCCTCTCTCTGCTGACGTCCATCACCAAGATGCTGGCCTCGGGACACCCCTGAATACATGGATTTTTTTTGGGGGGGGGGGGAGTCAACTATGTTTTATCCCCGAGTTCCACTTAAGCTGACCATACACTCGTAGAATTTTGTTAAAAAAAAAAAAAATATTTTAAGAACATTTGATTTCTTAATGGCGTCAAATTGATGATCAATTTTGAGCGTAGTGATGAAAAAAATGGAAGGAGCGGGATGGAAAATTTTTCTTGAACTAAAAAAAGGTTCCGACAGTTAATGTGGTTTTTGCACAGGAAACTCCAAAACCAAATGTAAAATTTAAACGCAAGTTCAAACAACAACAACGTTGGTCAGGTCTCCGGTGACACTATGGGATGTCCTGATGAGACTTTTCATGTGAACGTTTGTATGACAATCTACCATTGTATGGTCGGCTTTAGATGTGACTCTCTAATGATCTCTTTACGTCTGGCATTGTTTCTGTACAAATATTCATTATTTGGCCTTATTTGCAGAACTTTGTAACAATCTTCCGAATTTGGAATCTAGGGCAACAGTGCCGTGTCAGATTCCTAGCATCACCTTTCATCATCTCGTGGAGTCACGAGGCAGACCCACGAAGTACTGATGGGGTGGTCATAATAATCTGGCCACTCAGTGTGTGTGTGTATGTGTATATATATATATATATAGAATGCAAATCTATAGAGGACCCTCTCACACGTACCGAATGTGTGTGCGTGTGGTTTCTGCAGAAAGACGAAACTTCCTCACCTTCCGTGTCACAACCTCAATTGTATCTCTGAATACCACATCATTCTCTTTTGTAAATTGAACTTTTTTAAAAAAAATTTACTTTTCTGTATTAAAGAAAAAGAAGTGACTTGAGGGCCGGTGCAGAACTGTGCGATCGCAGGACGCATGTCCCGGGACCATGCGAATGTGCACAATTGCACACAGCGATTGCTGCGCGGTCCCATTGATTTCAATGGAGTTTCATACGTGCGGCAATCGCAGAAAAAGGGGAACATGTACCTTTTTTTGCAACACACGACGCGCTGCTATTTTCGGTTGCACGGGCGGAATCGCAATCTGTCCGGCGAGACTGGGGCACCGCCAGCACAATCAGCGGTGGTGGGCGTTTTCGTGACCACACAGCAATCCGCACGGTATCGTGCACGATTGCCGTGCGGTCACGGATCGCCCAAGTGTGAACCTGGCCTCAATTGTACTAATTTCTCAGGCTTATGTGGATTAGTAACCAGCTTTATACACAGATGAAATACATCCATGTCCAGGGTGGCATAGTGGTTAACACTTTTGCCTCACGGCACTGGGGTCCTCAATTCCAATTTCAGTAAGAACACTGTCTGCATGGAGTTTGCATGTTTGCCTTGTGCATGTGCGGGTTTCTTCCCACACTCCAAAGATATGCAGGTAGGTTACTTGGCTCCCGTCTAAATTGGCCTGTTTGTATGCATGCGAGATAAGGATCTATGTGAATGAATATTATATGAATCACTTCATATAATGTCCCTCTCGGCTCCTTTGACAAATGTCAATTGAAAAAAGTTGACCCAGATGGTGCCGGCAGGGCCGCCTACGGTTTTAATTTCGGACCAATTAAGCAAAATTCGATCCAAGCATGGCCGGCTTTAGACTGGCCAGAGACCTGGGACAGACTTCAGGAGATCTGAATGCAACGTTGAGTCATTCTGTAGAAACATTGTGGCATAACCATGAATGAAGTTGGGGTCTGCGTGAATACATGTGTATGTGATAGTCAGGAGACGTACTGTACCTGGCAATTGTCCCAGTCATGAAGGACATGGCCAAAGTCTGAAAAAGAGGAAATGTTTCAAAATTATGCAAAATAAAGAGAAAACAGGAAACGAAAAAAGAACTGTAAAGAGAAACATAATTATTTTTTTTTTACTACAAACCCAAAGGGTGCATTCTCAAAGAGCTCATCCTGGTAGAGGTAGAGCTGTCTATATGGCACAAGGCACAATGTCACCCTGGCCTCGGTGATGGCTCCCTGAAAATTCGGGCAGGGTTGTCAGTTGCATTATTCACCACATAATGAGGAGTCATCCTCTCCCACTTAAAATACTGTGGAGCATTAAAGGAGAATTATGAGGAGAGTGCTTTTCACTCAGCCTCATAATCTGAGCCGACCTGTGACAATGAGACTGTCGCAGGTCGGCTCAGTAGATCGGGAAGTGAGCGAACACATACCGGCGCTCGCTCACTTCTCGATCTATCCCTGCAGAGAGCCGTGACAGGGGAGTGACTGGATTCTCCCCTCCCCTGTCTGATCCTCCAGCCCTGACTGGCAGAACGGACGGGGGAGGGGACGGGTGCAGCTGGCTCTGCCTCTAGATAGGCACACAGGCAGTGCATTGCTTTCAGAAGGCAATGCATTTTTGGGCACATATTTGGAGATTACCTTGGGGATACCCCCCCTTTAAAGATAACCCCACTAGAGGGTGACATAGTGACTTTACTCCATCTCCTAACTGCTGAGATAAGATATAAGTCACACAGGCAGTGCATTGTTTTCAATGAGTCAACCGACTACATAGGATTTCCCCATCAGAAGATGCAGTAAAGGACAACCATCATGTAACACCTCAAAGCAGGGCCTGCAGATGTTAGAAGCAAAGATGGCCGCACACTATGTATAGTTCTACAAGAGAGACGTCTCCTTTCAGACATTCTGCCTCTCAATGAAACATTGGGGAGTCACTGCTCTGACTCATTGACTTGTGTTGACACCAGGACAGGAAGTGAAATCTCTCCCTAGGAGGACACAGCAATATAAATGTGACAACACTAAAAGACATTGAGGGGAATTTATCAAAACTGGAGCAGACTAAATCTGGAGCAGCTGTCCATGGCAACCAATCAGCATCCACCTTTTAATATACAAAGCTTAACTGAACAGGCTGAAGAGAGAAGCTGCCATATGCAACTGCTCCGGATTCTTCTGCTCCAGTTTTGCAGCTGGCTCTGCCTCTAGATAGGCACACAGGCAGTGCATTGCTTGACTGTGTTTGTGGCACACAGGCAGTGCCTCTAGATAGGCAGAGCCAGCTGTCACTCACGCAGCTGGGCGGATCCAGACATAATTGTCGGGATCCGTTTCAGCAGCGGCGTCTCAGTATATAGAGAGCTGTAGCTCGCGGTATACTGAGCTTTGGGTAACGGGAGGACGCTAGTTTGTGTCCTCGCGTTACCCTTCGGAGAACTATGGGGAAAAGCCCTAACCCCATAGTTCTCCTTTAATATTCCATATAGGGAGACTCCTTCAGTTCCCCCCCCCCCCCCCCCCCCCCACCATCCCAACAAT